AAAAAAAAAAAAAAAAAAAAAGGCAACATAGTGGGGTTCCTGTCAGTCTGTACTGGGCTGCCCTTCTCATTTGTTAATGGGACCTTGAAAGCAAGCTTGCTAGGTGCCCTCTGTGGCTTTAGCCTTTACCAGAAGTGTGGCGCATGTTTTTAACTCCAGAGAAGAGGTATCCTGTCACTAGGGTATGGGATGAGCATGGAGAAGAAGCACCAGCCATGATTCCTTCCTAAGCATCTCCTGTTCTGACTGCTCATGAATTGAAGAGACTGACCCTTGCATTCACTCTGCTTCCTCTGATTGTTTGTATCATGGTTTCCAAAAATCCCCATGGGAACATATCAAAGGGCCACTTTTGGAGACTCTGCTCCAGGAAACACTAGTCCCCATAGCTCCCCTGTCCCCCGCTATACCACAGACATGCTGTGACTTAGAGAACTACACAAACATCCTTGGGACCTAGATGCTGGAGGAATGACTCGATTTTGATGCAGAAACTTCATCACCCAAGGGAGTACCTCTCACTGTAAACGGCGCTGTGCTTGCTCTGAAGGATTAAGCAAGAAGTCCCAGCAGAAGCAACGCACCAGTCCTGCTATGGGAATGTAACTGCAAAGCCTAGGAGATGGGTGAAGTCCCTTTCTGGAGACCTTTAATGAGTACTTCAAAGCACTCCACAAAGATGCAACAAATAGGGCATCACACATACCCAGGCATTAATACTCACAGGCATATATATAGATACTGAAATGTGTACACTGACTTACGCCCTTCCCACAGCTACAGATAAGGCCTCGCAAAGTTGGCCTCAGAGACACATCAGGAACCAAGGTAGACCAGCAGGTGCCCAGCCTGTGTATCTACTTGGAGGAGACGTTCCAACGTGCTACCTTGTTCAGAGATGGTGTGGTTGCGAGAAACAGAAACCCACTACAATTTCTCAGGCAAAAGGGGAGTTAATTATAAGGACGTAGGAGCACAAAGTTCAAGGGCAAGAGATACCTCCAGGCTGCACACACTCTGGGAGTGGGGCCTGGCAAGCCAAAAGAAGCCAAAGTTTGTCTTGCCTTCTGTCCCTCTTTCTGAAGCCACATAGCCCTTTATGACGGTGTATCTTTGCATCGCCTTTGTTTTCTTTTTCTGTCTGAAGCCAGCTTTTCCTGTTCACTCATCCCTTGATTAAATATGGACATTCCAGCTTCACATCACTTTCTAATTCAGGGACCAACAGAGACTGGTTAACCTGTTGCCATCCCACCTCCAAATCGCAACAGGGAATTTGATTTCGCTGCTTGGGCCAGGGTTCAATAGTCAGGGCCAGGGGACTGGGACTATCAAGCACACAGCCAAAGTGACTGACCTGATGGGGCAATCTCACACGAATGGGGTCGTTTCTTGGACAGACATCCCAAGGGCCACTATGATAGTGGCTTCTTTAAAAGAGAGGGAGGAATTGCATTCTGTTTCCCAGTGAGTTAGAGGAGGCCTACCTACTACATCCCAAGGCAGGTGGCATGGTAGAAATAGGCCTGAAAGGGAGGCCAGGTTCTAACCTTCTCCTCTCTCTGAGGCTCAGCTGCTGCCTTCTGTAGAATAAAACGGGTTGGTCTGTAACAAGATTTTCAAAAATGTATAGTAGTGGAACTTTACAATTTGACATGGACATGCAGAGATTAAAAGCAAATAGATTCTTGATGATGTCAGGTGGGGAACTTAGCTCTCCATTCTGTGATTCCTTCCTCTGCAGGCCCTCAAAGCAACTCCATAAACACTCACAGAGCTGCCAGAGCCAATGTTTTGGAGCACCCTGGGACGTATGAACTCTAGCATAATGTCCAGGAGAAAGTACATAAGATTCCACGTAGAGCCAATCTCAGCTATCTATCTGTCTGGCTGTCTACCTATCATCTATCTATCTATCTATCTATCTATCTATCTATCTATCTATCTATCTATCTATCTATCTATTATCTATCTATCTATCATGTACCTCCTATCTACCTATTATCTACATACCTACCTACTCAATTATCATCTAGCTAGCTAGTTAGTTACAACTTTTTCTTTTCTACAAATGAGCATGTTGTCTGAATAACAATCTCTGAATGTCCAGTCCACTTCATTCATTCAGTCAACACAAATTTGCTTAGCAATTTGTATGTCCCAGGTCCAGGGACCTGGGTACAATGATTAATTAGATGTAATCCCTTCCCTTGGAAGATTCACAATCCTGGCAGAACCCAGACTCACATAGAGGCACTCACAGACAAACCACCAACACACATACCCACTTACCCCCAAACACAGGCCTGTATGCCCAGAGGCGTCTATCCACACCAACACACACATTCTAACAGACACACACATCAACCTCATGTGCCCAAAGGCACAGAAGCACATGCAGAAAGCCTCAGAGACCCTCAAGCCAGCCACTTACATATTTATTGTCATGAATTACTTTGTGACAACCAATATTTCTTAACACCCCCTATGTATAAGGCATTATTTTAAGTACATGTTGGGCATTATTATCATTCCACCCTCACATTAGACATGGAAGTTAGCCACTACTATTACCTTCAATTTAGTGATGAGTAAACCAATGCTTTAAAAAGATAATTACTCAAAGGCCTATAGCTTTTAAATGCTGATTTCAGGGCTTGAACCCAGGTAGCCAGACTTTAAAGCAAATGCTCTTAACTAGACACTGTATCTTGCCTCCATTTATAGACAACATTAACACACACACACATACACACACAGTGTGGCACCCATATATACATACGTACATGTTTATAACATATATGCACCCGCTTGCAAACAGGTATGTGGACAGACACATGCATTTGCCAGCAAAGGCCCTCACACATACACAGGCATTAATACTCATGGGCATATAGATGTTGACATGTGTGCACTGACTTATGCATCATGATTTAGATGCAGACACATACATGGAACTTCACATATAACTTAATACAGAAGAAAAACCATAGAGACACTCCAATACTCACACACACATACATATGGCTGCACATGCACGCATACATATGTATACATAAACACACACATACATACCTATAAGACACAGGATCTGGATCCAACTTTCCAAGAACCAGGATTCCTGCCATGTTTCTCCCCCATCAGCTTACATCTCCCACCCCTAGTGCTATTCAGCTGGGCTCTGGGGCAAGATAAATTCCAGCTGCAGAGGTCTCAGTGAAATAGGGCCTGGACCCAGCATCTGAAAGTTCTGGAGAATAAGGATGTTGGGGATAGCAAGAAGCAACCTGAAGACTAGTCTTCCATACTGAGGAATACTGGTCTCTCAGGCCTGAAGAAGCCTTTGCAAGCAGCTGGTAGAGGATGCCGAGTGGCTTAATTAAAGAACTTCAACTCTTCTTGGGGAAACAGAATGAGGATACCAGGCAGCAAAAGCTTAGTAGTGTAAGACTGAGACAGACATTGCAGGACTCAGAGAAGGGAGACCTCAGTCCAGTCTGAGAGAAGAGGGAAGGACTCAATCCCAGTCCCTTCATTTCATGGATGGAAATTAGGTCTGAAAGGGAGGTCCAGCAAAGACAAATGGCATATCCATCCTTAATGACCAGGCGGGGATGAAGGGGGTAGGGAGAAAGGTAAAACTGGTCACCTGAAGGAAATTTGGCATGGGAACCCCAGAGGATAAACCCCACCCATCCTAGCCCATTCCATAATCTCTCCCCACTCCGTTCCTCTCTTTCAACCTCTTTCTCCTGTGAAGGGCCAGAAATCACCCTCATGTTTTCTATGATATTAGAGTCTCTCTTCTAAAACTCTACCATATTCATCCACCTTTCTTCAACCCCATTGAATCTGATCTTTTCCAGGCTACTGTCATCTCTCACCATAACCGCCATAATAGCTTCTGAAGTGGCCTTTCTCCAGGCTCACCTCTCTTAATCCATTCTCTACTCTGCAGCTAGTGAGCATTTAAAACAAAAGTCACTTTCTCCTTTAGATCACTCCAGAGGCTCTTTACCTTCTATAGGATGAGTTCTGCCTGCTTACCTGAGAGATAAGGCCTCTCCAGCCATAGTCCTTAAACATATCCCCTTCATAACCCAGCTTCCAGTGCCACAGAATTTCTCAGGCTCCCTGAGCTGTTCTGTTGTGCTCCACCCCACTTTCATGTGCTGTTTTTGCTGCCTGGAGGGCCCTTCCCCTCACTGGGGTTATTTCTCCTATGACGGCTTCCTGGCTCCCCCTGTCCGGTGTAAAGTAGGCAAATCAATCAGTAGAAAATAGACCCAGAAATGACAAATAATAGAATCAGCAGACCAGAAAGGCAACACAGTTTAATAAATACATTCCATTTTTTTCAAGAAAGTAGAGAAAAGCATGAGCATGATAAGGAGAGAAAAGGAAGATATATATTTACAAAAACTATTACCCTACTTTATGACCTCTTCTTTACAAACTTTTTTTTTTTTT